AAATAAATATTATGACTGAATATCAAACATTATGGTAATTACTCTGTGATTCTTTTTATTTTATTGAAATGTGAATTGTTATGAATGATATTATTTTGATTGACAGACGGAGATCAGTGCGAGTCCAACCCCTGCCTCCACGGAGGAAACTGCACCGACCGAGTGGGCGCGTTCCTGTGCTCCTGCCCCGCCCCCTACTCTGGACCAACCTGTGGGCTGGGAGCCGGAGGACTACAACCGCCCACCGCTCCTCAAGTCGGCGCACCAGGTCAGACCACACCCACAGTTAGAGTAACCCCGCCTCCACTTAGTCATGAATAGACTTCTCATCGGTCGTATCCATGGCAACACTGTGCACCACCTTCCTCACGTCACTGAAACGTTTACGTTCAACAGAAATCGCCAAGTGTCCGATTGGAGGTCCGACCACGTGTGACCAGCTGTGCACAGCGTCCCGCAAATCCTACATCTGCTCCTGCATGACGGGATTCAAACTCCAGACGGACAGACACAGCTGTGTGCCTGAAGGTCCGCCCCTCACACACACACACATTAACCTGGCCAAACTGGTGACATAACCACGCCTCTGTTTCCTCAGGGGAGTTTCCCTGCGGGCGACTTCCTGACCCTGTGACCACGTCAACATGTTGCCATGGAAACTGTCCCTGGCAGGTAAGATCCCCTCGGCCAATCGCAGTGAGGTACACAGTCGAACGCACTTTGTGTGTGTGTGTGTATCTGTAATTGTGTGTGTACCTGTAACAGTCGGGCTCCTGCTCTACGTTTTCGTCTCTAGGCGTCGCTGCTGAACAGTTGGGGGGAGGAGATGTGTGGGGGCGTGGTGCTAGGGCGGCACACCATCCTGACCTCGGCCCGCTGCCTCCTGCTGGACTCGGGATCCGCCCGTCATACGTCCACGTTCTTCGTGGTCGTTGGTGTGAAACTTTAACAAACACTAGAAAACTGCATCAGAGAATTAAGTCATGCGGCCGAAAGTAAGTGGACAGTGTCACTCTAAAACACATCGCAGTAAACAGTACAAATATAAATAACAAAATATATTTGAAAAACAACTATATCAATAAAGTTCTTTGAATCACTTGTTCATAATCCGGTAATATTTACAATATGTAACATAAACACAACATGGACGAATCATGTCAACTGTCCGCATACTTTTGGCCATCTCTTTTCAATAAAGTCAGGAAATATCACCTTCATTTGGGACTTTTATTGTGAAGGGGCAGCTCTGTCTTCACAATAAAAGCCCAGTGAGGTATTTTATTTTGACTTCTCGTCCCTCGTCTCCTAGGCGAGAACAGGATGTTCCTCCCCGTCCGGGCTCTGCACATCCACAACCGTTTCCGATTAGATCACCATGACAACGACCTCGCCCTCCTCGAGCTGGCCAAACCCCTGCACTTTGGCCCCTCCCTCCTCCACCTCTGCCTGCCCACCAAGGATTTCAGCGAAAACATCCTAATGCATTCTGGGAGGACGGGGGTAGCCGGGAGACGGGGCGGCAGACAGAACCAGGAGCTGGTCTACATGACGCTGGACGAGTGTCGCGGCGAGTTGAGCGTCTCACATCCGCTCAGCAACAAAATGTTCTGCATGAGGAGGCAGACCGTTCAGGAGGAGGGTCAACACGAGGCCCGCGGCCCAGCGGCCGGACCTGTAATGAACCAAAATGGCAGCCAGAATACCAACGGTCGAGTTGGACACCAGGGGGCGCCAATCGGAGCCAAGCATAAAAACAGCAGCAGTGAGAATACTGAACAGACGCCTTCGGGATTAGACGGCGGTTTGAGGATGGAGGTCGGCAGCAGGCGGTGCAATGGACTGTTGCCGGGATCGCCCGTCACCACCTTGGCTCAGGGGACGGCGTTTCTGACCGGGCTGCTGATCTCACCCGCAGGCAGCGACGGCCTCGTGTTCACCAAACTTTCCCGATACCTGACCTGGATCAGACCGAGACTGAAGGCGGCCGAGGATCGAATGATGCCACAAGTCAACCAATATCCCGAGGCTCGCTAACAGCTCGCCTAAACTGCCGCCATCTTTGAAACTCTCAGCTTTCAGAATCGCTTCAAATGTTTTTACGAACCCTACGATGTCTGGTGACACCTGGTGGTCACTGGTGGTAACAGCAGGTGTGTCAAGTGTCATGTTTTTAAAGATCAAAATACATTGTGCTTCCTGTCGCTGCTTCACAATAAAAGTCTCCCTGCCTTTACCTTAGTGCAATTGAAGAAATAAGAGACCATTCCAGGTGAAAATATGAAATAGTTCAAAAACATTGAATAAATAAAACCGACTTTGAATTGAAACATGTTTAATGTGAAGCAGGAACTTCAACTTCCTGTCAAGACGTGAGTCTAAAAATTATTAAACACAATGAATTATTATTGATGACAAAATACAAACCAATAAAAAACGGTTTGAGTTCATGAAAACCTATTTTTTCTTTGATCGAACACTAAATTTAAGTTTCGTTCAGTTTCGGTTTATTTAACGTGTAAAGTAGAAAAGTCGAGATAATAAAAAGTTGGTTTAAGAACTGAAGTGTTTGTGTCAGTCAATCAGATTCACACTCTACAAACCAGCATCTGTTTTATTCAACATCTTTTTACAGTACAAAATAAAAAAGGTGAGTTAGTGGAGCGTCACAGTCAGAGGGGGTTGTGGGTAACGTCGTCTAGGAGACGGAGGAGAGAGGCGGGAATGGATTCTGTTTACTGACCACGAGCTTCTGGTGCTGATGGGAAATGTAACCTTTGATGTGACCCTGACAGGAAACAGGAAACAAGAACAAGATTTAATGTTCGTCCACTTCCTGTCGGGGATTCCCTCTGACTGCGGAGCTGCGAGATCATGTGACCGTGTGTGTCCTCACCATGTAGATGAGGTTCGCCAGGAGACACTGCACCTCGTCGATGTCCACGTCCTCCACCTGCATCATCCTCAGCGCCACCAGGAAGGCGTCCAGAGGAAGCTGGTGAGTCCGCAGCAGCAGATACCTGCACACGGAGGTCAGAGGTCAATGTCACGATACAGGGCCAGAAAGAAGGCGGGGCTGGAAACATGGGATCAAATGAGAAATAAGAAAATGGAGTCCAGGGTCAGGGGTCAGAGTCAACTCACACTTTCTTGAAGAGGTTCCTGTAGGTGATGATCTTCAGCTTCTCCAGGATGAGGAAGATTCCGCAGCGGATGAAGAACGTCTCGTGTTTGGACAAAGCTTCGTTCAGCAGCAGCAGGTTCCCCTCGCTAACAAACACACAGGTCACATGACTGATCACCTGACACCATGATGTCACTTCCTGTGTCACCACAAACCTCCGCTCACCTCACAGCTTTAGTGACGTCCACAAACTGCATCAGGTCGTATTTCCTGAGGAGCTGATGAGTCGGCATGTGACCCTGAAACACCAGAGAACCTGCGTCAGACTGAGATCCGAACCAGTGTGAACACGTTCAGCTGGATTTAATCTGGATCCGAACCAGTGTGAACACGTTCA